CCATGCTGGGCATGGGCTGATTGGCGACGAAACTTGATCATTGTCAAAGACCAAATGTATGCGCATATTTCGTGCCAAATAGCCATTCCAAACGTACATATTTTTGTCTATTAATTACATCAGCATTGGACCTATTGGACCCAGAGTGCTGGCGGCATTCGCACAGCTAACGTCTAGCTAATCAGAGCGATCCCAATATCCGATAAGGCGCGGCTCGCACACCCATTCTGCCAGCGATGAGTGGCCAGCCGCCGGTGAAGGATCATAGAGAACTTCATCAGTACGCATCGCGCCACACTCCGGGCGTGAGCCAGGGAGTGACGTCTTCTGATCGTACATATGGAGCCAGTGACGTTTGATGTTCAGTGTTCATTATGTTTCAAGTAATAGTTAACATTCTTACAAATTCAGCATCTAAGAAATAATAGATACAGATACATTAGGCGAATATTTATCAAATAAAGAAGAACTGTAACGGTGTGACAAAAACCATACGGCATGTTTATACAGTTGATTAAAAAAATCAATGCTTACGTAGACCTGAGGTCGCTCTATGCGGTGTCTTTGTAAAGGAATGAGACTCGATTCGACCCATGTTTAAGGCGTTCAATTAATTGTTTTTCTGCACACAATAAAAAAGTAATTTCGGGCCTGTTCCAGCGCCTCCAGTGGAAATACTTGACTGGAGGCTCTACCAGAGGTTTCACTGGAGGCGCTGGAACGCAATCTGGAGATTTCTGGAGATTGGCATCACAGATACCAAAAGAATGACGATTGTTCTCTCTTGAAACGCAAAATTTGTTTTCAATTTTATTGAGAAAGATTAACAAAATTATAGCAATGTAATTTTCTTTACATTGAAGTTATAAAATAATCAGTCAAAAGTCCTTTGTTTACATTCGTGATTGTAACATGTGCGCCATAATTCAGTAGACCAGAGCCTCCAGAGAAATTTGGACCTCCCAACTCTCTGGAGGCTACTATAGAGGTTTCTGGAGCTTTGGCGAGAGCTTTCTGGAGGCGCTGGAACGCTCTCTGGAGTATTATAGAGCTTTCTGGAGCTTTCTGGAGGTTTCTGGAGGCGCTGGAACAGGCCCTATGTATAGGATGTCCCAGAAGTCTTGAAACCATTTCGGTCACGTATTACTCGCATATGCGTGTATGAAAGTAAACAGCACTTGGTCATTCATAAACTACATGAATAAAAGTTTTTGATGCATGCGACTCCTACGCCAGGTTGGAATTTGTTTTAGCCCCATAACACTGCGTCGAGTTAGAGGAAGGCCTTTCGACAGGTAAACCATTCTGCTGGTAGAGCACTCTCAGGGAATGTAATGCGTCGTTTCGTGGTCCGCTTCAGGGAACAAGACTCTGCAGCCGACAAGAAACGGACATGTCGCACGGCGACACCGGGATGTCGCAAAGCTGGAGAACTTGACTTGATGGCGCGGAGAGCGTGCTCTCTCGCGCTCGTTATTGAGCGACTCATAACGAGGTCCATCTGACTGATGCATGGTGTTCTACCAATGAAAATACAGAACTTCCGTTTATTTTACTAGTTTGAGGTATCGCTTGTCTTAATCGGTGGCATATCACGGCCACACGACGAAAACAAAAATATCTAAGGCTTCCGGGACATGCTATATTAACATAAGCATTTATGTACCTATAGTGTTTCGAAGTTCGGTTCGAAAGACGAAAAGTGAAAATTGCACCAAAATACATCGCATTTTACGCTATGGGGAAAACATCGGACAGCCGCAATCAACCCGAGACGTGCTATGAAAAGGCTGACGTGAATATCATGCTCACATCGGAAACTTAGTGTGCTTATACGTTGATAAAACGAAGAAAATGTCCGGATCCAATGATCTGTGAAAGTTGGCTCGGCTAACATTCTATTTACATGCTATCTAAAGAAGCGATGTCGCAAATATATGCCGGTAAATTCCTATCCTGAAAAGGCGCCACTGGTCTCGCAGAATATCTGAAAAGGGTGTTGGTTCCGAGTAGAAGACGCCAAAGCTCCGTCTATTGATCAGTTTATCGCTGTCGCTTGTCTCACGGCGGATACCTATTCTGGCTCCTCACAAAGAAGCATGAAATGCTCAGTCCGCAGTGTTCAACACACAAACAAAACAGTAGAGACGTGGAGGCTGTTTGTTCAATAACGAAGAATAGGAAGCATACCTACCGCCTGTAAATTCTGAAGCTTCCTAAAATATACCAAGGGGTTAAGAATTGTTAGTTTTATGTGCATAGCCGACATGCATAGCCGGCAGTTGATAATGATGCGAGCCTGAAGTTCAGGGTCGGGATCAGGAGCTGCATTTCATGATTTCATAATTGTTAGCAGAACTGATCCCGTTTTTCATACTACGCCTAGCTGGCAATTACTTTCTTTTGAATGTTGATCGTTCATTTCATTTCAAATTATTTCATTCATTTCATTTTATTTCATTCATTTCACTCATTTCATTCATTTCATTCATTTCATTCATTTCATTCATTTCATTCATTTCATTCATTTCATTCATTTCATTCATTACAAAACTGACTTACTAAATATGCAGCTTCCATTTTAAATTCAAGAGCTTAGTCGAGCCCATGTAAAACCCTTTTAACTCTGCTCTCGATAACTGTCACAAAGTTGTTTGTCGACACACATTCATCCCTGAGCTCAGCGCAATAGTCCGTTTTCGTATGTCTCATGGCAGAAAGACCTGAGGAAGCCACAGAGAGGAGAGGAGAGGCGAGAGAGAGAGAGAGAGAGAGAGAGAGAGAGAGAGAGAGAGAGAGAGAGAGAGAGAGAGAGAGCCGGAGAGCAGGGGGATGATCGGGTCGGTGTGATGGCCGGTGCGGGAGCGGCGAATACACAGCAGCCGAGCCGTTATTGGCTGCACGTCCACCGCGATCGACTGGTCCTTCAGCCCTTCCCTCCCCGCCCGCCTCCCCGCCTCCCCCTCCCTCCCCGGCTACTCGGGGAGAAGTTACACGCCAATAGGCCGCAGATGCTAGCAGTAGAACAGCGGGCCGCAGTAGGCATGGAAGAATCAGTAATGGCTGCTCAACATGGCTGTGGAAATAGGGAAAATAAAAATTTATCAGGAGTATGAAAAATAACCTCTTGCTCATATCTGAAACAATGTGAAACACACATTGTGAAATCACATTGTGAAACACAGTGATCAAGGTCGTATGTGACCGAAAGCTTTGTGTATTTAAAAGTAATTTAAAAATAAATATCGTTTGGTAATCTTGAGTTTCTTGAGTTGTCGTTATCCAGACCAATATATATTCGGGCGTGGCCCTTCCTCAGTGGTACAGTGTTACAATGGAACACTGTACGTACCACTTCCAAACGTACAGTGTTCCATTGTAACACTGTACCACTGACGAAGGGCCACGCCCGAATATATATTGGTCTTTAATTTTTTAATTCCTTCAGATATGAGCAAGAGGTTATTTTTCATACTCCTGATAATCTTATCAACAATGCTCAATTCAACGTTTCAATACCTGAAATAAGAATTTGTTCAACTTCAGGAATTCTTCTTGTGATATAGGATTATATGAAGAAAACTGAACTAATAATTGTTCATGTTGTCACTAGCCGTGATGCATGCTTTCGACAAAATGCAATGTTATCACATGTGAGTGAATAGAACTTAAGATCACATTGCGACGAGGAACTATTCGTTCATTATCAATTTTCCCAAATCAATGGTAAAATTTACAAACAATAAACATATATAATGGCTTCCGCTTGTCCAAAAATCAGGATCGTTAAAATTGTTTTTGAGAGCTGTTAAAATCCAATTCCAGCTCGCTCATTAGAGGGCTGAATTGGCATTATTCTTCCTTTTTTCGATTGGATGCTAAGAGTGCTCCTCTTCGATTGGGATGGCCACTGACAACTGATATTACCAGCACGGCAGACATGTGCACTATCGCTAAATTAATGTTTATTTGCTCTTGCTAATGACATAATAGATTATTATTACATACGTTACAACAAATTCGGCATGGCATGTAGGTAATGGTTAACAGCCTTTGATCACAGCACAACCAACTTGATCCGTTTATTCCTTACGTTATCAAAATAATTGCGAGCTTCTTATACAAAGCGTTGCTATAAACGTCTCATTTTCATTATAAACATAAACGTATGTATATAAATTGATAAAAGTTGTTAAACGGTAATGTAAGCAAGATGTAAGTCATCGCTATGAGCCAATGCGAAAATTCCCGATCCACACAATAGGTAGCCTACTGAATAGATGCGGATATACTCGTACGACATATTAAACTCGCTCGTATCTATTCACGAGTGAATTTCAAATGAGTGCGCTCAAGTCACTGCGCTCAAGATCGAAACGCTTCGCTTCTGATCCATTCACCACTTCCAAACTAATTGAGAACACAATTTCTGCTGAAGGGGCTAAGTTTGCACGGTAACCATTCGTCTCCTGCATTGAAAGTATTGCAATAAACACAAGGCACACTGCACCAATCCTCCGTCCTTGCCGGTCACCTACTCCCGGATTTCGACAGAATTGCCCTGCTGCTTGTAGTATATGATTGCCCCTGCTTGCAGTACATCAGACTCAGCGCTTTATGTTGCCGTCCGTGACGGCTGCTGAGTGCAGCAGCCGTCACTCATGGAGTTCCTTTCATATGACCCCTCCCTCCCCTCCCCCGCCACCCCCACGGCCAGCGGTGCTGCGGTGGCCCGCGGACATGCCGCGGACGTTCAAAGGCAGGGACCAAATCACATCACACGGGAGGGACGCCGCCATACACGGCGAACACGCGGCCAATCCCGCTGGGCAATTACACTCTGGCTGCGGTCAGACATCGACATCGATGGTCGGTGGCCAATAAGGCTATTGCCCGCGGCGCAACGGAAAACATCGTCAGACATGGGCTGTTTGATATACTGTACTGGAAAGAGCGAAACTGCCGATCAGTCCTTTGACCGCTTCTCTGATTTGTTGCAGGATGAACTCGTCCGAGTCGGAGAACCCGCTGGACGTCCGGGACGTGCCCCCGTGGACCATAAAGTCGACAAACAGCTGTCTCCGATACCACCGTAACTCGCGGGTCAACTCAGGTAATATCTCTGGGCCTCAGTCTCCGCCAGGCTAGTCGCTGTTATGGTTTTACATTTAAGTCTACGTTAATGATGGTTCGATAGCAAATTAATTATCGTCGCGATTCCGCCGCCCCAGACGCACACGCGCACTCCCGATGTGAACTGTATTGAGTCCGGCTGACGACTGCACAACAATACTCTTTACTCAAGGACACCGGAAGCTGCCGGGCGGCACAGCCTGCCATCAGGCGCCGGCCGGCGCCGCGGCGGCTGGCAACAGCTGTCAGCTGACTGCGCCGGCATAGCTCGTGCCGGCTCAGTAGCACGCGTATTTACAAATTGCAACCGAGCTCCGCCGTGGGGTAAGGTGGGCAGGGGTTTTCGCACTACGGCTGCGGTTGAACTACCGTCTGTGGTAGAAATTTCAGGACGATGGCGCGTTTGATACGAAATCTGGCGCAATGTTTGTTTGCTTCTGAATTTGTATTGTTGTTGCTGTGAATTCTTGAAGTGGGAGTACTTCAATAACAATTTGTGGATTATTTGAGTTTCTTTGTATAAACATAGAATAGTATTATGAAACATTGTGTGGAAACTGCAAATACTGATATGATCAATTACTGAGTTTGGGAATTAATCCACATTTTGTAGAGATTTGTCTGGCAAATTGAAATGGTGTAAGTTGTAACAAACCTCAAGCCTATCATGATCTGAAGCTGTTGTAACAAATCAAAATTGCTTTGATGTTACATAGTACCTTGTTGGAAAGACTGAAGCATGGTTCAAGATGATGTGTAAAAATTCAAGATTTGTGCGAAAGCTTGTGACTGAAGAACGAAAACAGTTCTATATGATGGCTCAATCAAACGTGGATATGGACGACAAAAGTAGAGTTTCAACATTCCAGCATGTGAGAATAACTTCAGAAAGTCATAGTTCTTGTAGCATTGCACTCTTCTTATGTACAGTTATAGGTTTTGTCAGGGTATTTCAAATTCATTGTGTCAGTTGAGATACAGATGGATTGCGGACAAATTTTAGAATCATTGCATGATAGCTAGGTAGGTACTTGTTCGGTAAAAAGGTATGTGATGAATGCCATGAGAAGGTGTTTTATGATTTAATATATGGTCGTTGTTGTACCTAAAAATGCAAGCTTACTAGCAACTAGTTTCTGAATCAAATCAAAAGTATTTGCCATGAATGTAAATATGTACCTGCAAAGTATGTCAATAAATTTGTGTGATGTTGACCAGAGAGCTTTATCATCTGGGCATTTATGTCGCTTCTTACATTAGGTGTCAAGCATAGTAATTACGGATGAACTTTGTGCCAATATCTTCACTGCACAATGTATGTAGCATGTCTACAACCCTCACTGATCCTGCTATAGCTATAGGCATCTGGCACCAGCAAGGCCAAGGGCATGAACTTCACAGTTGCACAACCTTTTGTCATGTACCACCAGTCACTTTTTTTACTTAAGGTGCACATAGCAGTGGACACAACAATGTGCAGAGGGCCTACACAAAAACAGCATGATTAGTGTGCACTATGCACAGCATTGTACCATGATTATTTGAATATTTTGATCACTCAAAGTCAACAGTCAACAGTCAGGAGATATGCCCACTTGTTTGTGGTTGTCGGGTGAACCGAAAAATAAATAAATAATAAAATAATTATTGAATATCACATTTATTTTACATCACTTGTCAAACAAGAGCATGATGACACACATTTTGACAAGCAATCATGGTAGTATTTCAATAAGTTGGACAGTCACCTCCCTGGGCGTCATTTTTCCAGGAAGGTACCTCTGCAGGTGTTGTTGTAGGCTAGGTTGAATTGGGTTAAGTTAGGCGAAGTAAGGTGGTTAGGACCAGGTCAGGTCAGACCGTAAGGCCTGGTCAGGTTGATTTTAATCTTTCATTCTAATTTGACATAGATACCTATTACCTATGTTTTTTCTCCAGCCTGAATTTCATTAGGTAATGAGTTAATTTTGCTTTGTTTTTATCTGTGCTTGTGTTTTTGTCCCTTATATTTTGCCCCATAGGCAAGGGTGGAGCTTTTCCAGGGAAGGTGGTGGAGCATGATTGGAGGCGCTCAACCAGACGGCATAGGAGGGCACGGTTTCTGAACGCGCACTGATGCCTGATTCAAGCAGTAATCTTGATTCAAGCCATGCTGTCTTCATGCGGGGCGGAGCGCTACTTAAAAGTCCCTAAAAGACCGGGAAGTGATGCCGATAGAACCTTCAATCATTCTGGGCTAACGATTATGACTTGGAAAAAGTCGCGATTCCAATTCAATCGAAAATCTGTGGGCTCTTGTTCAGCAGGAGGTGTATGAAGAGCCACCCGCCATAAGCACTGCTCAACCGCAGGCACAGGTTTAGACGGCGTTGGTCCACATCAAAGCCAGTGTGCTGGAGAATCCATTGGCTGAAATGCTCCAGAACATTCGCCACTGTTTTTATGAAAGGTGGCTACAAGCTCAGTTAAAAGAAAAAGTACCAGATTGTTTTGCTTTTTAATTACAGCGGGAAGAAAGGTGTCCGGATAATTTCGTTACACCCCCTGTAATGTTCAAATGGTTGCTAAATTCGAAATCAGCTCTAAAACTAGCCTAGAAACATGTAAAACTCGAAAAAGTGAACCGAGGTCATCAAAGGTCATTGAGGTGACCTGACCTTCAGGTGACCTTGACACCCACCCTAATGCATGGGACCAGCATCATATCACATGTTTCAACGCTGGAAACCACGTGAAGACTGCAACCGCGCGGCTAATGCGAGCCGACATACGCCGAATCGCGATTCGGGCCAAATATGGTCTCGAGAAATAGGTCACAGGTCAAAGGTCATTTGGGTCAGAGTCATGAAATTTTCAGGGTAGGTGTAAAATTGATAAAATCGGGGGTGTTGAAAGTTTCGTCGCGATCGGACGGTTTTTACGCGAGTTACTCACGAAAAACCGATAAAGCGCACCCAAAAAGGCAGAAATATGCACATGCGATATCCTATACTGCGAAAAAAGGTGCATCATTTTTTAACGTCGCCGACAAATTCTAATTACCCTAAGCTCAGGCAGATGTATGGTAGAAAATCCCCCAAGTGAAATATACTACGGCGGAAATAAAATACCCTACGGCGGAGCTCGGTTGCAATTTGTAAATACGCCAGTAGCACGCATCACAACACCTCCCCCCAGACGTGGGGGAGACAACACGTCTCAAGAACAAAAACGGTGCCTCCGACAAACACAAACGCACCAACGCGTGTCAGCGCACGATGGCTACACGAACTCGTACACTGGGTCCGACCAAGTCACAGTCAGCCTCTTAGGCTGTCGACGAAGTCGTTCGCTGCGCCTGACAGAGACCTCAGGCGCGGGGGTCGCTCCGCCCGGACGGCTGCGGGGGACTTTGTCAGCGACTGGGGTCCCGCTGTCGGCGTTCCTGGTTCGGGCGCTGTCGCCTTCTTCGGTGATGGCGTCTCGGCTGCCATCGGGTGACGTGGTCACCATCGGCCGCAGCGGGCGGAGGTATCGTCGATTCCGCCAGTAGGTGCGGCCGCTTGGCAGGCGAGCGAGGTAGTCTCGGCGGCTGCCGATGCCAACGACGACGCCTGTCCGGTCCCACAAACCAGTCTTCGGATCTTGCAGGAGAACCTGTTGACCGATGCGCAGAGGTCTCAGCGAGCGGGCGCTCGCGTCGTAGCGCTCTGCGGTCTGGGACTTCAGAGCGGCTGCTCTCTCATCACACTCCTCCGCCGCGCGCTGCCACACCTCGGCAAACGCTCGGTGGTGAGCTGGCACGGTAGAGCGCAGCGGGTGGCCGTACAGTATCTGGGCCGGAGAGCGGCCATCGGCCCGAGGCGCGTTCCGCAGCTCCAAGAGGCCGTGCGCGAACGCGTCATTGTCCAGGTTGCCTCGGTCGCTGACCTTCTGCACGAGCCTCTTCACTGCCTTCACTGCAGATTCCGCGTGTCCATTCGACTGAGGAAAATGCGGAGTGGAGATCTCGTGGGTCACTCCCCACCGTCGCAGAAAATCGCGGGTGTGACGGGCTGCGAACTGCGGCCCTCCGTCCGTTCGCAGAGTCTGGGGTGCCCCAGTGGCCGCGAAGGCGACCCTCAGGCTGGACACCAGGTCCTTCGCCGACGTCTCTCCAGAGCAATGAAAGACGAACGGCCATCCAGAGAGGCGGTCTACGTATACGAGATACGTTCGACCAGCCCACGAAAAATAGTCCGCTGAGACGGCCTCAAAGACTCGAGTCGGTACCGCCTCGGAGACTAGCGGCTCCTTTTGCTGGCTCGGAAGATACATCTGGCAGGACTTGCACGCTGCGACGAGGTTAGCGATGTCCTGGTCAAGCCCGGGCCAGTAGACAACTTGTCTAGCCCGACGCTTGGTGCGCTCCACACCTTGATGGCTGGCGTGAAGCCGCTCGAGCGTCTCCCGACGCAGACTCTGGGGAATCAGGAGTCGCTGCCCGCATACCAACAAGCTGCCGTCCACGGTGAGACGGTCTCTAGCTGTCCAGTAGGGCCGCAGCGTCGGCTCCAGCTGCGACTTGTGGTCTGGAAAGCCAGCCAAGACCACGTCTCGGAGGGCGCTGAGCTCTGCATCACGCTCAGACGCCGCCCGGACCCTCTGCAGGGTAGCGTCCGGGAACAGTGATTCCTCCTCGGTCGGATCAGCCGTGGCGATTCTGGCGATCAGGCTTGCGATCTGGTGGGCTTCCTCCTTCTCCGCCTCTTCGTCGTCTGGCGTCGGAGTATCCACCGGTGCCCGGGAGAGCGCATCCGGGATCGCGTGCAGTTTCCCTGGCCGCCAGACAGCGACGAAGTTGAACGGCGTGAGACGTTGCCGTAGCCGTTGCAGTCGCGGGTTGTCGATGTCGATGAGGCTCTTGGAGTTCAGCACTGGAACGAGCGGTCGGTGGTCTGTGACCACCTCGAACTGCTGCATGCCCGAGAGGTACATGCTGCACTTCCGACAAGCCCATGC